TTAAACAATTATGAAAATAATACCTTTAGAAAAATTTATTTACAAATTTTTACTATTATTATTATATAGTTAGACATCTATAAAATCTAAGATAATTCAAATCAAATTTATTGAATAAAGTTCTTGTTTATAAACTATTTTTTTGAAATGATTAATAAAATTTATTGAAATGATTTTATTTCTTATGTAAGAAAATTTAATTTGAAGACTTTACTTTTTAAGAAGAAAAAAATATAATAAAAATATTCTCTAATACTATTGAATAGTTATTTTTAGCTATTATTTTTATTTTATTTATATTTTTATCAGTTTATTTATAATTATTTTTTTTTTGATATTCTTTGATATTCTTATTAATACTTAATTAGCATAGATCACTTTATAAAATATAACATGTGATATAATTTATCATATATTAGACGGTTCAAAAGGTTTAGGAGATTTAGGAAATCCAAAAGACTTAAAAGGCTTAAGTAATTCAAGTGACCTATTTTTACAAGTACAGTATATAAATAATTATAATTCATTCAATAATAAAATAAGTTTGTAGAAATAATTTTATTTTATTTTTGAAAAATTAGATATCCTCTTTTGATTTTAGGATTAAAGGAATTATCCTAATTTTCTTGATTTATTAATAAACTTGAGTTCTAAATAAATATATTTCTTGAAAAATACTGTATAATACTATTTAAAGAATTCTTGATGAATCTAATCTTTATTAATTCTTTATTATTATAAACCATTTCTTAAATTCTTTCTTTGGAAATTATCCTTTTAAAAGCAATTTCACTTGGACACACTAGTCAAATATAAATTTGATCACAATATATTAATTTAGAATATATAATAAGAGAATTTATATTTTAATAAAAAATAAGTTTTTTAAAAAATTTTGTTAATTTAGATCTCAAAAGAAAAATGTTAAAATAGAAAAAAAATTTTAAGAAAAGATTATTGACTTAATTACGAATCTTTAGTGAAATTTTAAATTGTTTAATTTATTGTTTTTTAAAATAATCAATGATAAACGGGTTGATGAGGATTCGATAAATAGAGATCAAAGTATTAATTTTTTAGAGAAGCGGAATATTATTTCGTATTTGAGACTTTATATTGTTTAATCTAAATTAGCTTAGTAAACTCCTTATATTCCTTGAGATTATATTAAAAAAAGAACGTGCGCTTAAAGAGAAACGCGTTTATTGATAGCAGAATACTTAATCAAGACTAGGAATATCGTGCATTAGACCCAGTTGCTTGATATGTAATTTTGCAATCCAAAAAAATGTTATTTATTACGCTTTATAAAATAAACAAAAATCAATGTAACGGTAATACGTTAATGAACCAAATATCGATATCAATATCGATATGAATTAAGGATCCAATTATATTATGAAGTTCCCCATGCTATCCTTTTAAGATGATCTTTCTTCTTCATTGTAGGCCCAATTATCCCAAGAATTTTAAGTTCTTCATATCCTTTGATAAATCTCGCACTAAAGAAAAATTATATATAATTTAACACCTTTTGAAATATATGTAATGTGCGAACGCAAGTGAACTCACCGAACTTCCTTATCGTCGATCTTTCCATTTTCCAGATTATCCCTCGAAATCACACTTTCAAATGATTCCAGCCAATCATATATGTTAATCAACTTGCCACATTGTAAATGTAACTTGTAAAGTATCGATGTGTCCGGGTGGGTCGATAAAATCTGTTCTCTAGAATCCAAATATTCGCTATCGTTTTCATCTATGTCACAACAATTACATTTGATGTAGTCTGTAGGAAGTCCAAGCGCTGTGTGTATTGCTTGTCGAGGTTTTGGTGTTAACACCTGGATTATTTTATAATTATAAGCGATTAAACGTGTGATAAGATAATGAGAAAAAAATAGTGTTTTTCATAATTCTTTTTTTTTTTTTTTTTACCGGCTCCAAGACACTAGCGTCTTGATAGTAGAATATCTCATAAAGAGTGTTGGAAGAATAATGCCGAAGATTTTCTCTATATGACAATAATTATTAATAGATATGGCAAAAATTGTACAAAAAAACAATTTTAATTTCAAGCGGCACATACTCGAAAAAAATGGATAAGTAGTTCCTAAAATCCATTTTTATCTTTCGATATTTTTCTTTAAATTTGTTCTCCTTTTCTTTCTTGGTGGTTTGAGAAGAGTCGCAACGAGTCTTTAATTCCTCCAAGACCTCTAATTGGTTAAGAAATTCGATAACTTCTTGACACTCTTGGCTCATTATTCCTAAAGCGTTAGAGACATCTTCAAGATAATCAATCCATGTTCGAAGTAAAGCTTCGAGGTCTTTAAAATCCATTGACCTGGAATTAAAAAAATCATTCTTAATATAGAAATTTTACAAAAGTCAAATTTAAAAAAAAAACCAAATATGGCACTGACACTAAATCATCCACCAATTTCTGAATGAAATAGCTTTCTCCCAGACCAGGTTTTTTCAACGCGAGCGAATACAATTCATATCTCATCTTTGCGTGGTTTGAATCATAACCTAGGCACTCTTGTGAAAAAAAAACCAATTCAAATGTGGCACCAAACTTTTGATGATATGTCTTCATGTCTTTCAAGAAAGCTGGTAACAGAGTTTTGACATAGTTATCGTCACATAATAGTCTGCGCACTTCTTCCGGTTGGTGAAGCTGAGATTCAACATACCTATAAGATACATTCAAACAAGAATTTTTAATGAAAAATAGACAAGAATTTAAACAAACACAACACGTAAATCCGAACTTTGGTTTCGCGCACTTTCTAAACGATAATTGCATGCGAATCATTTCGATGTGGTTTTTAGTCAACAAATCAATCCTCGGATGTGCTTCTTCCGGTTCAACTATCGACAGAATGCTCAAAGGATTCGCAGAAAAATGGTGCAACACAGCATACTGCATTTGACATAATTCTAATTTTAATAAAAAATTTGAGAGCGTGTGAACATCAAGCAAAGACAAACCTTATAGCCCGAAACAAATGATGACATTGAGTATCTGATTCCAATTAGCATGTCCTGAAGGAATTCAAACACTTTCTCTCCAAATTTTATGCTTTGGATATTATCTATAAGGCACTGGAACCAATAATGAAATGGATAAATTAATTAATAATGAACTTTTTTGTTTTAAAAAAAAAAAAAAAAAAAAAAAAAAACCAAACACCGGAAATGATTTTTATTAATTCTAACTTTTGATAATAAAGCATCGAACCGACTTTTCTGTGGTTTTAAATGAAACGTATTGAATTTCAGCAATCTTTCCACAGAATAAGGGTAATTATCGCGAAAAACGTTAATTCCTTGAATGCCGGTAGGAATTCCTAGAATAAATATTATGGGGATCCTATCCTGGTATTCACTAATATATAAAAGGTTCAAAAATTCAAGATCTATTACGCTAAAAATAATTAAAATATTTCTATATGAAATGATACCTGCAAATGTGTATGTATCCTTCGAAAACTGAAGGTAAAATGCACTCAAAGTCCTGAACCAAGACGACAAGTTTTAATAACGATCCCAAGCCTATCGAAATAAACGATACATTCATTATAAGTAGCCAACTATGTATAAACTTGGATGCTGCGAATAAAAAAGCATTACCACCGGTTTTCGTTCGAAAATTGGATTCGTACCATTGAGCCAAAGAATCCATATCTACCTGGTGGTGGCAAGAATATTTTTATACCTAATTTTAAACTAAAGTATACGAGATATCTTAAAATTCTAAGGCATCTACTCACAATGTCCTCGACTGGAAACGCAAGAGAACTTTCTGCATCCTTAATATGCACATATTGAAAATTTTAATTTTTGGTCGAATGAGAATTATGCATAAAGAGTAATTAATTGATAGTTCATTGAATAATACCTTGACATTGTCATCCTCACTCATAGCATCGTCGCTTTTGTTGTGCTCGTTAGCACTCTCCACTCCTCCTATGTTTAAATCATCAGAATCAATCTCCATATCATCATCACCGTCGTCATTGGGTAATGTTGTGCCCAAAAACTGCTCAACCGTATTTCTCACCATCGCTTTTAAACTGGTACAATGGGTTGAATTAAGAAATACAACATGATTTTGTTGATTTTGCGAAAGTTCATATGAAACGCCGTCAAAAAATTTCGCGTTCTCAGCAGTGTCTATTCCTATAATTGTTTAATTTTTAATTAGCGTGTATACATAACTATTTGGCTATTCATAAGGAATGTTCACCTGAAAACACCAGTGCTGTTGGAATTCCGGAAATACGCGAAGCAAGAAGCCTAAAAAGTCGCGAATGTATTGTAAAACAGACATTTTCGCATTAATAACATTTGCCTTTGAAATATCAAGCAACTCCTTACTGCTTCGCATAAATGCTTTCTTCTTCATTATAGGTGTTCTCCACAAAATCACATAGCTCTTCGACCACCCTTTCATTAACTTTGTAACATAGATCCTAATAATCGAGAATCATTTAATGACACGTCACGTGACCATTGGTATAGATCGTGTCTTACATCAGTGTCGTTTCTTAAGGAATGAACGACTTTGAGATAATCGGAGAATCTGGCGTTTACAGCCTCGGGTGCTTCTTTCCCATCTAAAAGGGGCTCGAAAGGAACATCTAAAGATATCCGATTCGATGATAAGGCGCGTTTTTTTTTTTTACAAAATACTTGAATGAATATATGGGTACAAGTTTAGCAAGCAAAATGAAAAATAAAGACGTGAAACGTCTTCAACACGTACCTTCTTCTTCGGTAGAGGTAGTTTGCTTTTTCGGAAGAATTAAAAAAGACCCCTAGCATTTATAAAAAAAATATGGCGACTAGTTAAACGCGGTATATAATGAAACCTTTCCTTTTTGCAAACGTGAAAAAAACCTTGGATTTCGATCTAATGCAATCGTCTTTCTTCGGAGAACAAAATTTACGAGACATAACGCTGCAAGGAATATCAATGTACTTTATGACCAAATAATATAATCGTGACCGTATATCCGCACGTGAAGTTTTATCAACGCCAAATTTTTTTTTTTAGTAATGCATTTGCAAAAAAGATCACTTAGTACTACCGTCATGCAAAAAGAAAGCTACAGGAACGAGATTTATGCATTTGTGTCATTAATGGCAGATAATAAGGTCAACGAACTTTTGGTCAAAGCGCGAGAAGCTGTATCATTTCCCGTCGAGGAATTAACAAACTTCTTGGACGATGGTGCCAAAAACACAGGTTCACAATAATTCACTTATCCTAACCGGCGCCTGCTTAAAATTCGTTTTTTTTTTTCAACACCTTTGCGTTTTTTGAAACCTATTTCTAAATCTCCCGTCATGTTTCACCATTTATGAAAAGCTCATCGTAGATGGCTCGAGTCCCTCATAGTTCCAGAAAAAGAACCTGTGTTCACCAACCAAGACAAAGTTTTTCTTGATAGAGAACAAAGTTATCTGAGAACTTTGCAAAAAATGAAGAGATTATTACAAATCAAGAAACAATATGACCTATCGCCGAAAGATTGGTATTTTCTGGTTAAAGCAACTGGCGAAGCGATTCCTATTGCATTGGTACCGTAATCTATATGCCAAGGAAAATGTCATGTTATGTTCATTTCAAAGAAGTTTTCAACCAAACAAACATTATTAGCATGACATGCTGTTCTCATCGGTCGTCGAAGGACAAATGTCCGAAGAACAACTCGCCAAGTGGCTTCCTTTAATAAGGAATTACGAAATTATAGGATGGTGTGAAACATATTGATCATTTACGACCGAATCAAAATTTTAATTTAAAGTTGATATTTGAATTATTAGCTATGTTCAAACAGAATTGGGACACGGATCCAATCTCAGAAAGTTAGAAACGACCGCTACTTACACGCGTGAAACTGTGCGCATCTTATTATGGTTTAGTCTAAATTGGTTTGATCTAATTTTTCGAAAAACTTTGGGAGATAACGTTGATAATTATAATGAAAATAGGATGAATTCGAGATTAATTCTCCAACATTGACCTCGTTAAAATGGTAGGCATCCATTCTAAACTTTCTCCATTCAACAATCATTTCTATATCTGATCATACTTGCAAAAAGGTGGCCTGGTGCTCTTGGAAGAACAAGGTATAGCCACAAGATTTATGCTTCTCAACACCAAAGTTATTCGCATCATCATTGTCATTGCTTTATTATAGTAATCATGGAGCAGTATTTGCGAGACTTATTATTGACAATAAGGATTACGGAGTTCATCCCTTCATAGTGCAATTACGTGGCGAGGGTCACAAGCCATTACCGGGAATTGAGATCGGTGACATTGGACCAAAACTTGGATTTAATAATATGGATAATGGTGATTCTTTTTTTTCCCTTTAAAAAAAAAAAAATCATGCATTTGAATTATGAAGGTCACTTAAACTGCTTTCGGTAATTAGGATTCGTTCGCTTTACAAAAGTTCGTATTCCGCGTACCAACATGCCAATGAAGTACTCTAAAGTCTCGAACACTGGAGTCTACAGCACTCCACCCCATGCAAAGATAGTCTACGGGGCATTGGTGGCAGGGCGCGCAGACATCATCTATAATTCTTCAGAGTTTCTTGCAAAGGTTCTAACGATAGCCATAAGATACTCGATTATTCGTAAACAAGGCAACAATTATAAAGATTCGAGTCAGGAATCACAAGTGCTAGATTATCAATTTCAACAGTACAAATTATTCAAGGGTTTGGCGATAGCGTACATGTGTTTCTTCAGTGCAAAGCTCGTGAAAAAGTTATATGAAGATAATTTGTCTAAAGTTGGACAAGGAGACGTTAGTTTGATGGCCGAGGTGCACATCACTTCTGCGGTACGACATTTTCAATTTGATCCATCGGGATAAAATACAAGAGTGAATTGATCTGTCCTCGTTTTAGGGATTAAAAGCTTTATGCACTGATCTGGTAACTGAATCGATGGAAGAGGCAAGACGCTGTTGTGGTGGTTCGTAGCATTAACTACTTGACCTCTCATTCATCTTTAATTTTTGATTTTGTGTTCAATGCAAATAACTTACTTTGTAATCAAAGGACACGGATACTCAGCCCTAAGTGGGTAAGTAATTGAAAATTATTATATTTTAGCCGCCTTTGTTAAGTGAAATTTATTTGATTTGATATCATATTTCCTTTGCAGAATTCCGGACATCTTGACGTTTTATTATCAATATCCGACAGTAGAAGGTAAAATATTGTATATTATTTGCAAATACACCATTGTCTTATGATTTATTGTTTGGTACGATAGGCGAAAACACCATTATGTATTTGCAGACTGGAAACTACCTCTTGAAGTTGTTCCAGTCTGTTAAACAAGGAAAAGTCGTGGGTGGTAGAGTAGGCTATTTGAATGACTGCGCAAAGATCCTACTTAAAAAATCCATGGCAAATTCCGTGGAATATCTTTTCAATCCTGATTCTCAACTCGAGTCCTTAAGACACCGATACCTTTACCTAATATCAAATCTCTCCACTAGTCTTGAATCATCATCTCGAGTTCATCCCGACGGATTTGAAGGAGCGAAATCGGAACACATGATTGATATAATAAATGTTTCACGGGCTTATTGTTATTTGACAATTATATCGATCGCTCATGAGGAATTACCGTCTTTGAAGAACCAATACCCGCGTCTTTACCCGGCATTGAAAAATCTCGTATATTTATTCTTTGTCAATACCGTTCTGACTCAATCTGGAGATTTTCTAGTTAGCGGCTACTATAACTCCAATCACATTGGTCTTTTACAGAGAGCACAAAGAGAGCTATTGAGGAATATTAGACCTGACGCTGTGGGGTTGGTGGATGCGTGGGAATTTAGTGATAATAGTTTGAACAGCGCGTTGGGAAAAAAGAATGGAAATGTATATGAAACGATGTACGAGTGGGCGAAGAAGGAACCCTTGAATCTGAAAAAGGAGAAGGGAATATACGTGGGGTATAACGAAGTGCTAAAGGATATTTTGAATGGAAATTATTTAAGAGAAATTGGATTAAGTCGGAATGGTGGAAGTGAGAAGGCGAAATTATAAAATACTATCCTTGTTGGTATTACAATTCCCATAAATTTGCATAAATTTGCTTGAGATGTTACCACGATGATTAATTCAAAAAACCGAGTGTCATATACTCTTCTTGATTCATACCAAATCAACATAAAATGTTTTATTTCCAATTTTGCATAACATCCTATCTATGACAAAAACATACTCTCTCATGGCCGTCTCGTACCCTCCGTTCCTAATCGCATCTCGCACCGTACCATCTATTGTTGACCCGCCTACCGACCACAAGACACTCGCGTGAAATCGTGGACTCTATTTATGATTGCAGGAATTTATCAGATCACGTTTTGATACCGGTAAACCCATCCATCAACAACCGAATCATAAATTAGTTACCGTGTAGAATTCTTTCTGTCGAAACTCTCTCGCCATTCTGTCAACATGTTTTAATAATTCTTTTAGCTACTCGTATAAAATGGATCAAAGTGTTAAACATGAGAAATGAAAAGTAATAACGACTTGATTTGCAAAATAAAAATTTACCTCATTAATCCCCTTACCAACTTCAAATGAAAGAAATGACCTTGTTTCCTCATCATTCGTAAAATTCTCGATCTCGGCAAATGACAACGTAAACCTGTTTCACCAAACCGATCAAAGTTATCAAAATTCCCCGAGATGAAACCGGCATAGCAAAACCCTACCTTTTCCTATTCTCAAATCCTTTACGTAATCCATCCCAAAATTTTTCTATTTGAAAATACTTCAAGAATATAGGTCTAGTTAAACTAATATGTAATTTTGAATCTGTAAATGGTTTGTAGGTGAGGTTTATCAACATGAATAAAAAATACTGTAATTATCTATCAAAAAGATAATTCCATCGGTATAATTGTTACCTTCTTTGTCGGAGTCTTCGATGCACGAATAAACATTAATCCCGTCACCGACAATGTTTTGCGCACAAGTTTTAATTTTACAAATTAAATCCACAAATTCGTCAGGCAACGTGACTTTAAGGAAAAAGATGTTAGAGGGTAACGAATCAAAAAGGTAATTTGATGCGACAAATGCAATTTCTCGTACCTTCCACATATACGTGGGTAGCCCAATTACCTTCGACATGTGGTTTTGTCCTGATGCGACCCTGATGCAACTCTGGATTTTCAATATATTTTTTATCTAACCATGATCAGAAGTATTTTGCTTAATAATACTCGTTCGCCAAACAACGCGACTTGTCAATTGCATATTTGAACATGTTTACCCTGATAAAGATTCAAGAATTCTGGTGGCAAAGGTGGTAATTTCTTTGTCGATGAAGATTCTAGTATTGGTACGAGCATTTTTTTTATTACCGGAAGATGATATGGTGAAGATACATAATAAGCTAAGCTACCTCTTACTTTGTCTTCAATTCTTCTTTCGTTTTCGTTCTTTATTTTTTTTTTCCGGAATCATTAAATTCCATTTTCTAACGCTACTGAACTCTGAACGAAACTGGTTGCCTTAAAATCTTACTTTATTATTTTTGTCCGCCACATACACGTCATTAATTTCGTTGTCGTCTTCCGAGTTGGAAGAGTCGTAATCCACTAAGCCCTGCATTTTCCCGGCTAAGATTCATGGAGATCCTAATTGGTACATATAATTAAATTTTTGTTACACAGTATATAAATATTCATATCTACAATTTTTTAATTGAAATAAATACTTATAACATAAATTAAAATTTCTTCATTGCAATAGTCCTATTGAAAATTTATTAAAAAAAAAAAAGTTCAAACGATCGATCATAATTTTTGAAAATAGAAATCAATATATTGCCATTTGTAAACGTGTATATCGACAAAATTTTAACAATTTAAAATTCGAAAAACCAAAGGCACATTCAAATAAAAAAATTTCCCGATAAAACTTTACTATTATACAGATCAATAATATTTTTTTTTTTTGTACTTTTTAACATAAACTTTTGTGGAACATTTAAAATCACAGAGCGCCCTCTAAGTAAAAATATTTAAGTCTATTAACAAAACTAGGTACATCAAGTTCAGATGGAGGCATTAATATAGATAAAGGAAAACCATGGATCCATCAACAAATAAATTGTTCATTTAGTAAATTTCCGCAGGCTCATCCAAATATTTTACCCTAAACATATCCAGAAAGAATATGGAGGTGATCACTTCCCACAAAAGGCACAAAAATGAGGACCGCTTTAAAAAATAAACTTCATTAAAGTGCACTCTCATAATCGAAAAGTTTAAGCGTATAGGTACCATACGTACTTCTTTTCAGAAAATGGTACAACCATTACTTTCTTCTCCATTCGGATTTAAAGATTTTTCGATTTCATTTATCATCATTTCAAAAATGCGAGCTATTTCATTGGAGAATAATTTTTAAAGAAATGATATGATATATTAGACAATAGTATAACAATGTAGAATCAAGAAAAATCTGCTTACTTATATTTTCGTTATGCTTGGCCGATGCTTCGGTCCACGCACAATTCCATTGCGTAGCCAATTCTTTGCCTTCTTCCGAAGTCAGTTGCCTATACATTCAGAAAAATTATTTAGATTAGAATGAATCGATAATCGGGAAAGTAGGAAGAGAGACTCTCCGGTACCTCTGCAAATGTAAATCGGTTTTATTTCCAACCAAGACGATCGGAACCCAATCTGTCCCCATATAAGCCAAAATTTTGTCTCTAATAATCTTAATCATCTCAAAGCTCTGCCTAGAGGTAACCGAGTAGACCAAAATATAACCATGAATTCCAACCGCGTGTGTGGAGTTCAGAATTGAATATTCATCCTGACAACAGGAATTGTTAATTTTAAGTTGCAAAGTCAGTTGTTAGTAAAATTGGAATTTACCACACCTGACCAGCAGTGTCGATAATATCCGCAGCAATTTCTTGTCCTCTATATCTTATGACCTTATTAAAAGTGTTCTCAATAGTAGGATAGTAAGAATCAACAAAGTGGTTTTCCACGAATTGAATCGTTAAAGAGGATTTACCTACAACAAGGGTGATAATAAATAAATAAATAAATAATATATATATATGTTAGGTACACGCGAGAAGTAGGGTGAAAGGAAAATTAAAACTTGCCTACGGAACGAGCTCCTAAAACCAAAATGGTCCTTTGTTTTATTGCCATTGCTTGAACGTAAGAGAACTATTAAAATTCCCGAAAAAATACGTATTGGTTACGTATCTTTCATCCGCATGAGCTAATCAATTTTGAGACTTTATTACAAGGGTTGTTACACCGATATAAGTGTTGAAATTACATTGGTTGCAAGATATTTCTTCTAACGATTTCACGTACTTGGCTTTTACTATTAAATTACTCAACTTTTTTTGACACAAATTAAACCAAATGACATTACTGCATCTCTTATCATACGGAGCGGTAGTTCTCGCATTTTTTTTAGTTACTTTGAGTCTAGGTATATTCGCTTGGTTGATATTCTAAAGAAAGTAAAGACGCGTGAAACACGGGCCAAATCTAAATCATAACACCAATTCTCTATTTCATAACCTAATGTCCATAATGAAGCCTGTGGTCTTTATTATTTAGGTATGACTTCTACCTTATAACGCGTTTTTCTTTCTACCTTTACATTATATTAACCGCTGAAATCTTTTGTCTGTTCAGCTGAACTTGTTGAAGAATACACGGTTTTAACAAGAAAGATCATTAAGCATGTCACTGTGGTCTGTAGTCAGAATGCTTGTTCTGGACGTGATAAATCATTTTAATAATTCATCATTAATTTTTAGGTGGTTATCATAATTCACATTCTCCTCTGGGCGCTTGATGATCTTCCATTTTGGCGAATAGCATTTTCAACAATTTGTCATTGTGTTTACACATTGAACCTGAAAACCTTCCCCTTTATTAATTTAACGAGTTTTACGTTTATCTTGAGTTGCTGTAGGTGTCTTTTCTTTTTCATTTGTCAAAAAACGTACTATTTATTATCGAGAAGGCTCAAATCGATAACTTTGTTTTTTTTTTTTTTTTTTAATACTAGCATTGGTCATTGCCGACCATCTTCTTTGGTTCCAATTCTTCACCTCACGTTACTTTGCATTCAAGGAAATTGCTGCATTCTTTGGAATATGTGTTTGGTTGATTCCTTTTGCTTATTTTATCTCTCTTAGTGCTAATGACAATGCCCTACCATCATTCGGTTTGAAACTTCACTTCAGCATGAATCTGTTACTCATGTATATGAATTGTACCATAATCTTTTTTTTTTTTTTTCCATATTCACAGATCCAAATATGCATAATGCCGACTAC